TGTTCTCAGAATTGGAGATTTTCGTATATACTCCAATATTTCGATAATATCATCAATCTGTTCTCAAAATTGGAGATTTTTGTATTTACTCCTACATTTCGTAATACAAGATAATATCGCTGACAGTAATCTGATTTACATCTTGATTCAAAAATTTTATTTATTGTGGTTCACTACAACACATGAATATGTGAATTCTATGTAAAATATGTGTTCCGCTGTGATCCAAAGCAATTTTATTTGACATTATTTTTTTAATTCGCCTCTTTTTCAAAATGTACATTAATGTTTCCTCTTAAGGTATGTATGTGTGCCTTTTTTGTGCTTACAGATTAAATTTTGAATCTCATCACATTCAATATTAAAAAAAAAAATAAAAAAATTACGCACTCTATCTGAGTCTAAAACTTTATTTATTAGGGTCATCACTTTACATTCGCACATTTCTTCGAGAACGAATTCGAATTTCTTCTATAATCAAAATTTATTGGAGTTACGAACAAACTTCGATAAGATCTTTTGCGCACATTTAAATATTTATCTTGCACATCTACGTAACCAAGTTGATACTTTTTGTGCAATGTTTCACCAATTACAAAAGTATAAATTATAAATAAAAATTTCTATAACTTAAATCAAACGTAACGTAAGGAGAAGAACCAGTTGTTTACATGGATACGTGTATGCATATGCAAGAATACAAGTAGATTTGGTTTATTTGTTGGAAATGCGGTGCGATGAGGTAACAACATTGTTTGTTTGTAATAGGTAATTGAGGTAGGGTCCACACTCTCTTCATCATGTCAAATTGAATTGTTCTTTTCACAATTTAGAGCTTCGAAATTTAATTTAATTATTCACAATAGATCTTCCCACTACAAAAAGAAATTTAAATAGACATTTTTATTTTTTAATTATCAAAAGAGTCATTTTTTCAGTTGTTTAGTAAAAAAAAAAAAAACCTTTGAGAAATATCAAGAGAAAAGATTGTTGTCGTTAATAACTGAATTAATTGTAATATTTGCATTTTGATTAATTGGACAATGAAGCAATGGATAGACTATAAGGATTTTTAATCGACAATGTGGACTTATATGTGAATTATTGTGTATGAAATTAAAGGTTATCTAATATAGTTTTGGTATTTTGAAGTATCTAATTAAAGTGTGAGTCTTTATATGTAGAGATTTGGTATTTTCTTAATTTCATGATGAGCCGAATTAAGTTGACAAACCGTTAGTGTATATATACTGTTATGGTCCCCGAATCACACGAGTGATTGTTCATTCTATTCTGACTCTCATCATCGGAGAGAAAAACGGACAACGTGTTGATCTGGAAGACTAAAACTCCAAGATTCACTCATTGTATTAACCATGTCTCATTCAAGTACGCTTTCGTTTTGGTTCATAAATTCTTAGTGATCCAACATAAAATATCATTATGACGGCAATGATTTTCCAACACAGTCGCTATATAACACTATTCAATAATTTATATCCACTTTTAACTATTTTTATAATTATTATTATTTCAGCTAGTTCCTTTAAGTTTTGTCTACCCAAAATTGTCACATATCGAATAGTCGAAGACAGATTATTTTTTATCCTCTAACGTGTGAGAAAAATTGAACAT